GTTGTTTCAGCATCGTGTCGGAATGAGCTGCCATCAACTTACACAGTTGGCAAACCCACACAGAGAGCTTGGTCGAAGTAGTGGTGATTGGGGTTCAGCAGGGTCCGGGGAGGATTGGCTGGCAGGAAGGACAGGGCAGTGTCATCTGAGCAATGCTGGCACACAGCCAGACCCATGCCAAGATAAGGTAGTTAGGAATTATTATATCTCCTTCATCCGGTGACAAGGCCTTGTACAGTGTTTCTTGTTTGGAGGCCAGACAGATGGGATGTTTGTGTCTGCAAATTAAAAAGTTAATTTCTGTTCATTTTGATGAAATACTTGACCTTTGGGTATGCTACACATGTGCAAGATGTGGGTTAACCACAATCCATGAAGTAAGGGTTCCTACCCCACCACACGCACCGCCACCTTTTGTGCATTGACACAAGATTCCCCTGGCGTCCCATGGACCAGTCCAGCAGATCACAGAATACCTCTCACAAAACTGTCTGCTTGACCCGTACCAATCTGGGTTCAAAAAGGGGCACTCCACTGAAACTGCTCTGTTAGCAGTGACTGAATCCTTAAAAGAAGCTAGAGCGACAGGCAAATCCTCAGTGCTTATCCTGCTCGACTTATCGGCTGCATTTGACACTGTCAACCATGGCTTCCTTTTGTCCGCACTCTCTAGCTTGGGCATCACAGAGAAAGCACACGCCTGGTTTGAATCGTAACTCACAGGACGATCATTCAGTGTACCTTGGCTTGGACAATCCTCTACCGTGCACCATCTTGCCACAGGAGTCCCCCAGGGCTCTGTACTAGGACCTCTTCTCTTTGCCATATACACCACCTCACTGGGTGAGATCATTCGATCTCATGGCTTCTCCTACCACTGCTATGCAGACGACACCCAGCTCTGTCTGTCATTTCCACCGGACGACCACACTGTCTCTGCACGAATATCAAACTGTCTCTCTGACATATCAAAATGGATGAAATCCCACCATCTCCAACTCAAATTCTCTAAAACTGAATTACTTGTCATCCCAGCAAAGCCATCCATACAGCACAATATCTCAATCCAAAATGACTTCCTATTTTTGGCTCCTTCAAAGGCAGTTCAAAATCTGGGTGTTGTGATTGATGAACACCTGACCTTTAAAGATCATGCTTTCTCTGTTGCTCGTTCATGCCGCTTTGCGCTGAATAACATATGAAAGATCAGACCATACCTAACACAACATGCCACCCAGCTCCTGGTGCAATCTACTCTCATCTCCCGCCTCGATTACTGCAATGCCCTTCTAACTGGTCTTCCAGCCTGTACTGTGAGACCTCTTCAAATGGTCCAGAACGCAGCGGCGCGTCTGGTCTTCAATCAGCCAAAAAGAGCACACGTCACCCCTCTGATCATTGAGCTCCACTGGCTACCGCTAGCAGCACGCATCAGATTCAAATTGCTAACACTAGCATACAAAGTCCGAGATGGTACGGCTCCCATCTACCTGAATCCTCTTGCAAAGGCTTACGTCTCGGCCCGGCCGCTCCGGTCATCACAGGATTGTCGGCTAGCAGTGCCTATACCACACTCAGGACAATCCAGACTCTTCTCATGCATCGTTCCGCAAATGTGGAATGACCTTCCAAGCACTACCAGAACAGCGGCTTCCTTTTCAATTTTCAAGAAACTCCTGAAGACCCTGCTCTTCAGAGAGCATCTTCTAAACTAGCACCCTCCCTGCACCTGTCCCCCCCTCTACCGTCCACTCCTTTGTTCCCTCCTCTCCATGATTGATGTCAAGTTGTTGTATTGTTGTTGTTGTTAGCCTCAAGGGCAACATGCCGATTATCACTTGTAAGTCGCTTTGGACAAAAGTGTCTGCTAAATACATAAACATAAACATAGCCCTCGAGGACCAGAGTTGGTGACCCATGGTCTACAGAGTCAAAGGCTTTAATCAAGTCATCAAACACAGCCACACAATATTCCTTATTGTCAATGGCACACATGATGTCATTTAGCACTTTTAAGTGTTGCAGAAACACATCCATGGCCAGTTCTAAAGCCGGGCTGCACGGGGGTAATAATACTGCTGGATTCCAGATAGCGAGTTAGCTGTTTGTTGACTAACTTTTCAATGACTTTAGAGAGGCAAGGCAGGGTAGAGATAGGGCTATGACAGCTTAGGTCTGAATGATCTCCCTCTTTAAAAAGTGGAGAAACAGATGCAGATTTCTAGTCCTGCAGAAATGCACCAGTTTGTATGGACAGATTAAACAGATGGGTAATGGGTGCAGCAATAAAATGTGCTGCTATTTTCAGAAAGAAAGGGTCATGAGTGTCCAGTCCAGCTGATTTATGAGGATCTAACCTGAGTAACTCGTCAAGTACCTCATTTACCTGAAACACCTGAACGGAGGAACAGGAAGTGGTTGTGGAGAGGGAATCGTTGCTTATAGCTGAGTCGAGGTCAGAGACCCCAGAGGCGGGTGAAGCTGTTGCAAAGGCATGACCGGACTTAATAAAATAAGTATTGAAGGAATTTACCATTTTAGTTTTATCTGAGACAACAATGCCCTCAGATTTGATTGCATTTGTTGAGTGTGAGGACTTGTTGGTGTTTTCCAGAGTCTTGACAGTCTGCCAGAACTTTAAGGGGTCAGAACTACTCATTAGATACTGGTTCTTATAATAATCAGATTTAGCTTTTCTGGTTGACCAGGTACATTTGTTCCTTGCAGATCTGAAGGATCGCCGCTCCTTGATATTCTTTGATGTCTTTGCTCTTTGCCAGCATTGATGTTTTAGACTAATCAGTTCTAAAAGTTCAGTGTTGATCCAGGGACTGAAACAATTTTTAACTCTGGCTGTTTTAAAAGGAGCGTGTCTGACTTAAATCGAGATAAAGGAGTTTTTGAAGTGTGACCAAGTGCCCTCGACAACAGGAATGAGGTTAATTCTGTACCATTGTTCTTTCACCAAGTCACGTAAAATGACCTGCTCATTGAAGTTTTTTAATATTTGTTTACTGATAATTAGGGCAGGTTGTTTAATGTTTGTACCGTTGTCGACACAAACAGTAACATAATGGCCGCTTTGGCTGAAAACTGCAGATGAGTATTTTGTTGGTCTGTTGGTGAGAATTATCGATTAATGCTCCATTATTGAAGAACTTATTGTTAAATCTTGTTGGAGGTTGCACAATCTGGGGAAGGTTTAAAGCATCCAGCTGAAGTTGCAGAGAAGTAGACGGCTTGAGCACGTCCCAGTTCAAATCACCTAAGAATTCAGAGGCGGTGTAAGGGGTAATGAGTTCCCTGAGGGCAGACAGGGCACCGGCAGGGGCAGATGGGCACCTGTAGCAGCCAGCAACAACCAAAGAGTAGTTTATTGAGAGGTTGATTTTCAGTAACGGCAGTTCAAACTGTTTGGGCAAGGATTTAGATTACATGACTGAACATTGCAAATTGTCCTTACAGTAAATAGCAATCCCCCACCCTTGGAGGGTCTATCCTGACAAAAGACATTATAACCAGGGATAGTTTAGGATCTTTATAGTCTGTGCTTTACTCATGACAGAAATAGCACGAGGCGATCAGTTAACAGTGTAAGGTAGCCTGTATGCTGCACAGGAACACAACTCAGCTAAAAAATGGTGATGGAGTTGGAAATTCTGCTCAGTTTTTTGGCTTTTTGTTAGACTCTGAACCAGGAAATGGCTGTGGGCAGTTGAAGCAGCAGGCAGAAAACTCCATTGAAACCAGTGACTCCGGCCCCTAGCCAATCAGCGGCCACAGTTGCAATGCTGATCTCATTTGGCCTTGCCAGGAACCTCATGGAGCAGGGACATAAAAATTGGGGTAAAGTACCGAACCACACCCTTAGAAATGGTGGTTAGGCAGAGCTGCACTAATCCAGTTCAAAAGGGTTCAAATGAAGGCAACTGCACTTTCATTTATTGAAGACATTTTGCTTCTCATCCGAGGAGCTTTGTCAGTTCTGACTGGGAAATGAGAGCGTCAAGCTTCTTAGCTGTAGTTTCTGCGAATAAATTACAATAGACAGCTACAGCTGATAAGTTTGATGCTTGGCAGTGTGTAGTTTTGTGGTGCTAGGGGGCAGTGCATACATTTCAGGGTAGAACAAAAAATGGGATTTCAGGGTAGTTTTACACCATGCAGCCTTGACTGTCTCTAGTTTTAAACAACATTGTGGTAAATGTTGTTACCGGGAAGCAGAAAGCATGCAACCTCAGCGTGACTCCTCAGACTCTGACTTAACCTTATTTCCATCTAGAGAGAGAAAGAAAGAAAATAACCTTTTATGTAGCGCCTCTTAAGATAAAAATCACGAGGCGCTTCTTCACAAGAACAAAAAGTTTAAAACATAACAAAGATTTTTAAAACAAAGATTAAAAGATGATTAAAATGAGAGAAAACTGTGAATAAAAATGTGAAGACGGGGAAAGACGAAATTAATTGGAAAGAGGGAAATCAGGGTATCCTCAAAAATAATAGCAACAACATAATCACACCAACAAAACCATACACAACAGTTAGAAACAGACTAGTACACCCAAAGGACAAGCTATCAGCAGGACGTAAGTGTGGAGTCGTAAAGAAATCCCAGGTAAACTCTGCAGTAAAACATACATAGGAGCAACTTGACACCAACTCAACACAAGGACAACAGAACATAGAAAGTAGTGTGAGAAAGAAACAAACCGAAGACGCACAAGAGCAGCAAGACAAGAAGCAGAAAGCACAACAAAGAAATCAGCCGTAACAGATCCCCGCACAAGGTAAAGCCACATAATGGACTGGGACAACACACGGATCATAAACACCCAACAACAGGAATATAAAAGATGGATTAAGGAAGCCTTAGAAATAAGGAGACGTGGGCGTGGAACCATGAACAGAGACGAGGGGTCTACACATTAGATCATGCATGGGACTGTCAGTGGAGATGGCAGTGCAGGGGAGAATAATTTTGTGTGTTGTGTGTGTTTCAGCTGATGACATTAAACCATGCCCTCGCTGTGCTGCGTACATCATCAAGATGAATGATGGGAGTTGTAACCACATGACCTGTGCCGTCTGTGGCTGTGAGTTCTGCTGGCTCTGCATGAAGGAGATCTCGGATTTACACTACTTGAGGTATTTCATTGTGCATATTTAGAAAGTTTAAAGTTTTAATTTGTGCACATTTTCTGGGGAAAAGTAAGATAATTTCATTGTTTTCTATTTTGTGATTGTAACCAGCATGTGTCTGTGGATGTTTTTCTCTAGAGGAGAGGCTAATACTCGTGGCCTCTCCTGCAAGTTTAGTCTAAATGTCTGAGTGCATGCTTTTACCGCTCAGTCCATCAGGCTGTACCTTCTGGGGTAAGAAGCCATGGAGCAGGAAGAAGAAGATTCTGTGGCAACTGGGAACACTAGTGGGAGCCCCTGTTGGAATTGCACTGATTGCTGGCATAGCGATACCTGCCATGATCATTGGAATCCCTGTATATGTGGGAAGGAAGGTGAGGCTCTAAGCAAATGTTTACCTAGAGGTCAAAAGTATAAAGCACATGGTTGTATTTCTGCTGCATGGTTAGTGTGTTTAATCTGGCTGTGTTAGAGCTGAGGGGGAGTCTTTCTGTTATATTTATTTTTATTTTTAAAGGATATTAATTCATAACTTGAGTTGCCAAATATCTTTCATTGTTTTATTTACATCTGTGATACTGATGAATAATTAATATTTTCCTTTGGAATAATATGAAAGGAATGATGCTGGACTCCAGACTAGGGTTGTCACGGTGTAAAAATGTAACCTCACGGTTATTGTGACCAAAATTATCACGGTTTTCGGTATTATCGCGGTATTTTTTTTAAACGTGTTATATTTTCAGACAACAAAATAAACCCTGTATGTCAGGAAATATTGTCCTCAGTTTGTGTCTAAATTTTGCCTAAAATGTGTTATTTTGTAATTATGTTTGTTTGTTTACATTTTTCCCCTTTAGTCTTTAAAATACCAATATTTGCCCATAACTTCTTATTTTTTGTCTTTTTGATGCCATCATTTAAAAATATTAGATCAGATGATACTCAGTACTCAAGTAGCCTTCTAATCAGATACTTTTTTTACCCTTACTTGAGTAATAAACTCTATATCAGGAAAATATTGTCCTCAGTTTGTGTCCTTCCAGTGAGCTTTGCAGATGTGGGAAAATGTCATCAGGCAGTAATCATTGTTAAATTCATAATTATTCTCGGAGAGAGACCAACTCTTATCTGCCCCTGGGAGCCCCGTAATGCATAGCGTCGTTTCAACATGGGGGTGTCCACGACACGGTTTACATGCAGGTAGCGGCGCTGCGGCTGCTTTATATAGCGACTCGTTGCATTCTCCCTCAACCCAAATCCTCGGATCACGCATTTTAGATAAAACGCTAACGCTAACTTGCCTTGCGTTGACTGTAGAGTTGTGGGTGATGGTCACGCAGATGTGTCATGAGATTTGAAGTGTTACTGCCTTTCACAGACACTTTTTCTGCACGTGCTGCAAACAGGATAGCCGTCTTCTATCAACTGTCCCTCGGCATTCTTCAAATATCCAAAAAATGCCCATACTTCCGACTTTGTCTTCTTTGAGGGATAAAAAATGTCCTGAGCGCTGCCGTCTCCTCCTTTGGCCATTATTTCAGCTTTAGCTTCAAGAAAGATTTGGTTGTAAACAACAAATTGCGCATGTGCCGCTGACAACTTTAGCAAATGATACGGTGGATGGTAAGGGTCACCGTGCCTACACCGTAGCCACTGTAATCCACCGACATAATATATATTTTTAAAAACAAGACGGTTATTATTATTGTCCACTTTTTTTTACCGGGGTTTACCGCTACACCGGTTACCGTGACAACCCTACTCCAGACCACTGTTTCTTTTAATGCCCCATTTTATTAAGGTCTGATTCACTGAAAAACCCTGTTTTAATGATTATGTCTGATTCTAACGGGTCACTCTAGAGTGTTTCATTCGGGCTGAACATGAAAATAGTCTCCTACACCTTCCTCCTGCAGTAGCTTGTGATAGAAAACAGACAGTGAAACTCTAGGATTAGAAAAGCCTGACAGATCTACGTCACACTGTCACTAACATGGACTCACCCATCTGGACTCACGACAGGGATGGCTGTTGTTGGTTTAGAGTCCAGGAAACGGCAAAGAACGAGAAGATAACCGTTGGCATTAGCAACTCCACAACACAGCAGAACTCCTATGAATACCTGATCTACATTTCAATTAAAAAAAATCAAATATTTATTTTGGCGGGCATGACACTAGGTGTTTGTTTACATCTACCAGCCAATAGGGAGCACCATTGTGAGTTACTAAACAGTCCGCTTGGCACAGCAAGGCTGGCTCTTTGGCAAATCAAGCTCAAAATCTCAGGCGCAGCGCGTCCGCCTCCGGTGTGCCCTAGGCTTTAGAGATGAAGTCAGGATCTCCATCATCTGAGGGAAGTAAAGCCGTTGCTCCTCCTAATCAAAATGAGTCAGCTGAAGTGGTTCAGTGATGCATGGAAAACTGTCTTCAGGCGCCCAGAGCTGTGCTGTGGCTTTGCATTAGATTTATGTATAATCCTACAACTATCTTGGGACGTAATCAGCTGATAATAATCAGAGCAAAGAAACATCTAAAACATGCAACCGTCCCCCCTGCCCCTGAACCAGTGTTGTGTGACTGAGTTTGGACCAGAAGAATATTTAAGTGTAGAAATGCGGTAGGAAAGGGACTTTACGCATCTCACCAGCTAGCAGATTGGATCTTTAAGTTTCTGTTTCTAAGGAGGAACTGATGGTCACCATGCCGTCATTGTGTCTCATGAGTCTACACTTTTCTTTGTCAGATTCATAACCGCTATGAAGGCAAAGATATTTCCAACCACAAGAGGAACCTGGTGATCGCTGGTGGAGTGTCCCTCTCTGTAATCGTGTCTCCAGTGGTGGCTGCAGTTACTGTAGGTCAGTCTGCTCTCAACCCCGCCGTCCTCTGTCCCCTGTCCTCCTCTCTTTGTGGTCCAAGTTCTTCTTAGGATTTCGGCATGCAGGAAAATCCTCAGACATTTTTAGTCCTTGTTCTTTTGTTTGTTTCTTTCTTTCTTTCATTCTTTCTGAAGAAAACAGACGGTGAAACTCTAGGATTAGAAAATCCTGACAGATCTACGTCACACTGTCACTAACATTCATGGACTCATTCATCTGGGTTTAAGACGGGGAAGGCTGTTTTTGGTTTAGTATCCAGGAAACAGCAGAGAACGTCTCAGCTAGTAGAAGCTAACTGTTAGCATTAGCAACTCCACCCCACAGCAGAACTCCCCCAGGCTTGTGTTATTGGTAGAGATAAAACATCAACGTTGCAGAGCAGACAGAGTCGGTGGTAGTCGTGCTGCTGTTAGCCAGTCAGAGGAGAGATGTCCAATTATCAGGAAGTAAAACTCCAGATCCTGCTGTCTGAAGCTGCTTTCTCCTTTGGATGAATTCTGTGTCCTCAAACAGGTGCAGCAGAGCTTTTTCCCCCAGAGTATGACTAACAAGGTGTTCATTCCTACTAGAGACCCCGGCAAATGTATCAAAAGTGTGAGTGAAGTTGATCTGTAATGTGTTAACCCTTATTTTATAAATGAAATTGGAACTACACCATACTCAGGACAATCCAGACTCTCCTCGTGTGTTGTTCCACAGATGTAGAACTGTCCCAGGTATTTAACCATTGGTGATTGACTGAGTCCTTCGCTGATCAGATTTTATGAACGATATTTTTTATGCCTATTAATGAGTCTCATGGCTAGGAGACTGCACACTTCCATGTCAAATTAGCGTCTTGTTTTGCAGCAGTGTTTCTATGTGCATATTTTTACACTTAATTTGAATGCTAAGAATCTTCTGACTACAATGATATATGGCAATCAAGGATTCAACCATAACTAGACAGAGTCTTTAGTCAAACCACTCGGAAATTCGAAATAATGTCTAAGTCCCTTTTGGAAACCTTTGGAGTTTCCCCCTTGGTTCAACACAATATGATACAAATGTGAAACGCCAGCCACTTGGATAAAAACACAGAGCCACTGAAAGATATGCTTATAAACACAGAGAAGTTGTATATGACATGGGCGGAAATGGGAACGAAAAAGATCCGGGGCTTAGCCCAGATGAGTGATTTTCTACCTTTTATTGAAACATTTCAACTTTCACATTTTGACCATCTTAAAGCAGCCAAAAAGCACTAGATAGCACTTATGAGCTGATGATATTATACCTTTATCGTTGGCTTCTATACAGTACTGTGAAAACAAATCCTCTCTAGGACTTTACATTAAGATGTGAGCCATGTTTATGCAGTAATCCTAATGATAATAATACATTTTATTTATAATGCGCTTTACATTACAGAAGTAATCTCAAAGTGCTACAGAGTATAGGGGACAGGTATAAGGTACACAGCTAGTTAAAAACAGTTCAAATTTCAGGATAATATCAAGTGTGGAAAATAAAAACAGTCCCCAGAAATGGATAAAACCCATCTAAAAAGTCATTACAGTAGATACAAACAATAAGTAAAAACAACACAATAAAGTAAAACACTCAATAGGTCATTGTGCACTAGAAAGCCTTATTAAACAAAAAGGTCAAAGCTCCACAGATTGTGTGGCCCTTAGAAACTCTGGGAGAGAATTCCAAAATTGAGGGGCCACTACCTTGAAGGACCTGTCTCCCATAGTGGAGAGTTTAGTCAGTGGTTGGTGCAGGCGGTGTGAAGAGGTGGTAGATCGGAGGGTTCTTGTGGCAGTGTGTGGGATGAGAAGTTCGCTCAGATAGGCAGGAGCAGTTCCATGGATGCACTAGTGAGTAAGAAGGCCAATTTTGTACTGAACTCGATATTGAATGGGCAGCCAATGAAGTGATCTCAGATCTGGAGTGATATGATCATATTTGCGTCTCCTCATCAGGACCCGGGCAGCTGAGTTCTGGAGCTTTTGTATGCTCTTGCCGGGGGCCCCAACAAGGAGGGCATTGCAATAGTCCAACCTGGAGGAGATAAATGTGTGGACCAACTTCTCTGCATCTGGCTGGGAAAGAGAGGGACGGAGTTTAGCAATGTTTTTGAGGTGGAGAAAAGAGACCTTGCAGAGGTGGCGAATGTGGGTGTCAAATGTAATATTTGAATCTAGTCTGATACCAAGATTTGTTACAGTAGAGGAAAGGGGAACGTCATGACCGAAAATGGAAATACTGCTAAGGGAGAGAGACTGTGTTTGATGTGGAGTGCCGATAATGATAGCTTCAGTTTTATTACTGTTTAGTTGAAGAAAATTTGCGGCCATCCATGCCCTCATCTCCTCCAGGCAGACCTGAAGTACAGATGGAAGAGTTTTAGGTGTAGTGGAGTCCATTTTCATGTATAACTGAGTGTCGTCTGCATAACAGTGAAACAATATTTTGTATTTATGGAAAATTTGTCCAAGTGGAAGCATGTAGATGGAGAAAAGGGTTGGCCCAAGAACCGACCCCTGTGGTACTCCACAATTTACAGTGTGGGGGGATGACTGACATTGTCCTAAAGCTACAAATTCCGTTCTGCCCGTAAGGTACTCCTGGAACCAATGTAGTGTGGTTCCCGAAAGGCCAACCACAGTCTGGAGTCGATTTAGGAAGATGGTATGGTCCACAGTGTCAAACGCCGCTGACAGATCCAGTAGGAGGAGAAGAGATGGTGAGCCCTGATCCGCAGTTAGAAGTAAATCATTCATAACACGGACCAGGGCAGTTTCTGTGCTGTGGGCTGAACGGAAACCGGACTGGAATTTTTCATACAGATTATGAGTAATGAGATGATTGTGGAGTTGGTGTGCTACAGTTTTTTCCATTATTTTAGCTAAGAACGGTATGTTAGAAATGGGTCTGTAATGGGACAAGATAGCAGCGTTTAGAGAGGGCTTTTTCAGACAGGGACGAATTATTGCAGTTTTGAGGGCTGAGGGAACCTGACCTGAATGTAATGACTGGTTTATAATTGTAGTGATTAATGGACTGACGACTGTAATATTTGATTTTAAAAGTTGTGTCGGGAGAGGGTCAAGGGGGCAGGTTGAGGTATTCATGCTTTTTATTGTTTTCTCCACTTCTGTCTGGGTGGCTGCTGAGAAATCAGAAAAGGTATTTAATGTATGTGGAAGGGTGGTGTCAAACGGATGCCGAAATGTACGACTGATGGAGTATCGGATTGATGCCACCTTGTTGGTAAAAAAGTCCATGAACCTATTGCATTTATCAATGCTAGTGTCAGTATGTGGATTTGTAGGAGGGTTTAGCAGTGAATTTATGGTGTAGAATAGCTGCTTTGAATTTCCAGCACTGTTTACGAATTTCTGTGAAAAATATTTTGACCTGGCGGCAATGAGTGCTCTAGAGTATGTTCTTTGATGGTCCCGGTAGGCCAGTTTATGAACAAGCAACCCCTTGGAGGTAAACAGACGCTCCAGGGCACGGCCATTTGTTTTCATTTATCGTAGTTCTATTGTATACCATGGGGCTGACCTGGAGACTGTAACTGACCTTGTTTTTATTGGTGCATGTGATTTAAGAATATTGTGGAGGTTTAGGTTTAGGTTGTAACTGTGAACAGATTTGTTTACTGACGTGTGATGTTTTACCGATAGAATATTCTGAATGTCCTTATGGGGTCTATAGCTTTTAAATTTCTGAAAAGGATCTGACGTTTTGGCTTACTGTATGTGTCTTTTAGTGGCAGTTCCATGGAGACAACACTATGGTCAGACACACCCAAATCATAAACCTGTAAGTTTGTAATGGCGGGAGTATCTGTAATGACCAAATCTAGGGTATGACCTTTTGTGTGTGTAGGAACTGTGACATGTTGAGTAAGATGTAAGCAATCTAGTACATCCAGAAACTCAACTGCAGAACGGTTTGTGGGACAATCTACATGCAGATTAAAATCACCCATAATAAGTGTATAATGTGACATTGCACAGAGTGATGTAAGAAAATCTTGCATTTCAGAGATGAATCCAGGTAATCCTCACATTTATTCATATGTTTCCATTAAAGAAAAGACAAATGTCTTTATATGGCGATTTGCCATAAAGGTCATTATCGCCGTTTTGTACGTGCTTTGCGATGGGCCTATCGCACGTCCTGTTATCGCGATGACGATAATTTTTCGTTATATTGTGCAGCCCTACTAGACCATATGACATTGCAAAGTATTTTAATTAATTTTTCATAAAAAAGGTTAACCCTTTGATGCATGAATTATGAAATCTTCAACCATGATTTTTTTAACAATTTTTTTCATTCATCTTTAGGTGTGAACAAAACAAATTTCAACAAATATTTGTTGTTAAATTTTATAATTTACAAATAATTTATTACATGTCCACCTTGGTGGATAACGTGCATTCTGAACATGAAATATGTTGGCTTGGCTTACTGAAGTCCAAATGGAGGGACTCAAATGCAATAAAGTCTTCAACAGCTGTGCTTAATAGCAAAAACAAATAAATAACAATTTTGAGTACCTGTCCACTGTAGTGACCATTATGCATCAAAGGGTTAATTTAAGATCATATATACAAATATTGACAGTGACCCATGTAAATTAGTTGATATAATCAATTTCCCTCTAGGATTAATAAAGTATTTTTGAATTTGAATTTGAATTGAATTTGATAAGATAATGTGGAGGAAAAACGTAGGGTTACGTTATGTAAACCCCGGTTCTTTGATAACAGAGTGAGGTGTTTCACTATGGGAGAATCGCCCTGGCATGACAAACTACGGGAAGCTCCAATGACATCACGTCTGTCCCTGACAGACCGGTTGCGCCGTGCCCAGGCTCCGCCCACCCAGTATATACACGGCCAACCAACTCCTACTCATTCGGACGATTTCTTACAGTTAATGCAAGAAGGGAATTGTTGGTGAAACACCTCATTCTGTTATCAAAGAACCGGGGTTTACATAACGTAACCCTACGTTCTTTTTCGAACTTCGTTCGGTGTTTCACTATGGGAGATATGGCCCACTCCCGGATTGCATGTCCATCCCGAAGCGAGCTGCAGCAAAATTCTCCTTAACCACTAAGCAGATGCTGTGCATCCTGCCTCCAGCACTGAATGTGCCAGTGAAGGTTGAGACACATCCAACCTGTAAAACCGCACAAAAGTTAGCGGCATGGCCCAGCTAACTGCTGCACAAATATCCTGGACTGACACCCCACGAAACAGGGCCCAAGATGTGGCCATGCTCCTTGTAGAACGAGACCTCACCCCCAGAGGGGGTTCAGCACCCATACACCTATATGAAAGGCTTATTGCTTCTACAGTCCAGTGTGCCAGTCTCTGGTGAGACACAGGTTTGCCTTTATGGGCCGTGGCCCAAGAAACAAACAACTGGTCTGATTTTTTTGAGACCAGCAGTCCTGTCCATATAAGCCCTTAAAGCTCGAACAGGGCAGAGACAATTAAGCTTCTGCTCTTCTGCTGAGGAAAAATGAAGTGGGTGAAAAGCCAGCAGCTCCAGAGGGGAGCAGCTATAAGACGACTCCATTACTTTAGGCACAAAAGCTGGATTGGGCCGCAGACACACCTTAGTGTAGCCAGGGGCCCACAGTAAACAAGAGGGACTGACTGACCATGCCTGAAGGTCACTCACTCTTTTTGCTGTAGTTAAAGCTAAGAGCAGTGCAGTTTTTAAAGAGAGAAATTTCAGTCCAGCCCCATCTACAGGTTCAAAAGGATGATGACAGAGGGCCTCCAGAACAAGTAAGAGGTCCCCCAGTGGTACCAGTGGCCAAAAGACTGGTAGCTTACGGCAAGCACCCTTCATGAAGCAACTCACTAGTGGGTGTTGCCCCACTGGTTTGTCACCAAACCCCACATGGCATGCAGAAATTGCAGCCAGATAAAACTTAATAGTGGAGAAAGCTTTATCCTTGTCCATCAGGCTCTGCAAAAAACAGTACATCCACCACTGAACACTGAAATGGAATAACATGTTTTTCTTCGCACCACACCTCAGAAACCCTCCATTTAAAGCTGTAAAGAGAGAGACTTGGGGGGGGGCTAGCATTTTGAATGGTGTCATTTTGATGCTTGGGGACAGGCCTGCCATGCTCAGATTCCACCTCTCACGGGCCAGGCCCACAGAGACAAGCGGCCTGGGTGAGGGTGATAAATCTCTCCCCTGGCTTGGGACAGGAGATCCCTGCAGACAGGCTGGGGCCAGGGTTTGTCCCAAAGCATCTGGATTATTTCTGCCACCCACGGCTTGGATGGCCACAATGGAGCCACCAAGATCAAAGACAGGCCCTGTTCTCTTACTCTTATTAAAATAAAGGAAATCAGACTGAGAGGAGGAAACGCGTACAGCAGCACTCTTGGCCACTGGTGAGCCAATGCGTCGATTCCTAGAGGCGCGTCCACGTCTGTCAGGGAGAAGAGTGGGCAGTGGGCGCTTTCCCATGAGGCGAAGAGATCTACGTTAGCCTGACTGAATCTCTGCCACATTTGGTGCACCACCTTGGGGTGGAGTTTCCATTCTCCGTACAGAAGATTTCCTCTGGACAGAAGGTCTGCCCCTCTGTTCAAGCTGTCCGCCACGTGTTGCACGGGCTGAGAGGAGTCTGGAGCTGCACCACACAATAATTTCCTTGGCTAGTGAGTGCAGCTGTAGGGAGTGTGTCCCACCCTGACGGTTGATATAAGCTACCACTGTGGTGTTATCTGTCTTCACTAAGACATGACGGTCCCTTAAGTAGGGCAGGAAGTGCTTTAAAGCTAGAAACACTGCTAGGAGTTCCAGCACATTTATGGAGTATAACTTCAGTGTGAACCTAATGCGTAAACAACCTAAACAGGGCCCATGTTGTAGTTTACCCAAAACATCCCTGTAGGCAAAAAGAATAAACAATAACTTCCTCTCTAACAGAGAAATACTAAACTAATCTGAATAAGGGTCAGTTCACCCCTTCTTTTTTCACTCTGGAAATTTGCCAGTGTCACCATTTTGGTTGGTTGTTGAAGGGAAGCTGGACAAAGTCAAATGTGTAATCTGTCTTCATGCTGTTTTTTCAGGCATCGGCGTTCCCATCATGCTGGCGTATGTCTACGGCGTGGTGCCCATCTCTCTGTGTCGTAGCGGAGGCTGTGGGGTCTCAGCTGGGAATGGAAAAGGAGTGCGAATAGAGTTTGATGATGAGAATGACATGAATGTTGGCAGCGGGACGGCTGCCACCGGTACGTTTTACTGTCCTGATTCCGCTACATGCTGTAACGAACCGATTAGGTTTATCAGGGTTAATGGATAGATATAACTGAGTATCGTCAGCATAACAGAGGAAGTTTATCCCATGCTGTCTAATGATTTTACCAATTGGGAGCATATATATAGTAAAAAGATATGGTCCAAGCACTGAACCCTGTGTTACTCCACAAGTAACCTTGGAGTATGAAGATCTGTTATCATTTGGGGCAGCAGTAGCTCAGGTGGTAGAGCGGGTTGCCTCATGATCGGAGGGTCATGGGTTTGATTCCAGCTCCCGCCAGGGGTATCCTGCTGTTGTGTCCTTGGGCAAGACACTTCACCCAACTTGCCTGTGTTAGAAGTGGTCAGAGGGGCCGACGGCGCCAAATGGCAGCCTCGCCTCTGCCAGACCTCCCCATGGCGGCTGTGGCTACAACTAGCTTACCATCACTAGCAGTGTGTGAATGTGAGAGTGTGTGAAAAGCATCTTTGGGTGTCTAGAAAAGCGCTATATAAGTTCAATGCATTATTATTATGTACGTTTACAAAATTATATCTGTCAGACAGGTAGGATTTAAACCAGCCTAACGCTGCTCCTTTGAGCCCTACAACATGGCGAAGCCTTTCTAAAAGAACATTGTGATCAACTGTGTCAAAGGCTGCACCGAGATCTAACAAGACTAGAACAGACACAAGATTCTTACCCGAGGCCATGAGGATATCATTTGTAACTTCACTAATGCAGTTTCAGTGCGGTATTTTCAGTACTTTATGGTATTCTCATGTTAGTTTCTTTTTTCCACCGTTAAAGACATGACATCAGTAGCAGATACCAGAAACAACCCTAGCCTCTGTGAGGGCAGCGTCGAGGGGATGACGGGCAGCTTCAGTGCCAGCGGCAGCCACGTGGACCGTTTGGGGACCACCAGGGATAACCTGAGTGAGACGGCCTCCACCATGGCCCTGGCTGGAGCCAGCATCACTGGCAGCCTCTCTGGCAGCGTCATGGTCAATTACCTGAACAGGTGCTAACATTCAAATAATAAAGCCTCTTTGGAGCTCACAGTCTTCTCCATTCATTTAGGATCACTAATTTGACAATGCCACATGCTCACGTGGCATTGGCCTGTAAGTAATGTGCTCTGAGCACACCCGTCCCAAGGAACTTGTAATTACTAGTTCATGTCAGCAAGGGGCAGAGTCGTGCAACACAGTGTGCATAAAACAACTAAACAAACCAAAACTACTAACAAAAGCCATAATCCGTGTAAAGAAAATTGAAAATGAACACAAAAAGTGATTCACATAACCTAAGAGTAACTGGAGAAATTGTAGTAAAAGAGCTGTAGCAAAAACTAGGGATGCACCGATCAGGTTTTTGCTGCCGATACCGATATCAAAGAATGCTGATCACCGATATCGATCACGTGGATTGGCCAGAAATTTTCTACAACATTATAATGAGTGCTACAAACTAGGGCTGCAGCTATCGAACATTTTTGTAATCGAGTATTCTATCGAATACTCTATCGATTAATCGAGTACTCTAATAAATTACCCTTTTGCGTTTGTAAACCATTATATCAAACAGCATGTTATAAAATATGAAAGACCTCTTAAAATGAGCAATTGCCAGTTATTCTTCAAGTTTTATTCAAAATTAGTTTTCAAAACTTCAGCACTTCAACTTTACTTTACAGTAAACAAATGCGAGCGACTGCGGCCCAAACAGCACCAGAACCGCTCACAGCGCATGCGAAAACATGGCTCGCCAGCTGTTTCCCTATTGACACACGTCCGTTTTAATTTCTACACTTTTTTTTCCTCACACTAACAAGGATTGTTGAGAAAGCATGTTTGCCGTGGTTATGTCAAATTATACTGATCACACATTTGTTTACTTTCTTTTGTTTTCCTCATAAATATCTGTGTCCTTCTGCAGCAATCCTGAGGGACAACGGACATCAATAACAACACAGTAAAATGTCCGACGTGTTGTAAAAACTGCTATTTTTAGCACATTTTAAGACTGACGTGTTGCTACCAGACGCACAGTGTGAGCTGAAACTGAGTGCTACAAACGAAAAAGTCGCACAGTGTCTGCAGAATATATAGAACACATATATACAGGCTAAAATGCATTATCTTGTAGAGGCTCCGAGTTCGCTTGCAGAAGAGACATTTACATGTGGATGTTTCCTGGTCAGGTGCTGCAGCATCAAGGATGTGGCGTTGTGGTAGGCTAAATCCATTTTACAGTATTTACACCGGAGTACGTTTTCCGCCTTAAGACGTGAAAAATGGTCCCACGCCTTTGACATTTTCTGTCTTTTTCGCACTCCACCGGGGTCCACGTTGTCCGCCATGGCTTAAGAGAAAGTTAAGGTTTTTTTTTTTTTGTTTTTTTTTTGAGAAAGTTAAGTTACATTCGCCACTCGCGTGTGCATTCAGTGCAGTATGTATGTGCGTCACTTATTTAGGTCCGGGTGAAACATGACCCCGGGTGATTGCAAAGCCATGAATTAATTAAACATGAATTAAACAAAGCCTCGAGGCAGAGAATTTGACTTGAGGATTTTTTGGACTTGAATTATTCGAGGTACTCGAGGAATCGTTTCAGCCCTACTACAAACTACACAATCTGGGAATAAAGGAAATGTAACCTAATCTAAAATGGTCTGTATTAGGGTTGTCACTGTGTGAAAATTTAACCACGGTTATTGTGACCAAAATTACGACGTCATAGTAGAAACTGTATTTATGGCTTACTTTTATGCATTTAAACTTCAGCCGCCATTGATAGTTGTTAAAAGTTGTTAAACCTGTGCATATGAAACAAAAAACGCCTTTTGTTTATCGATTTATTGTGAAAAACGGAAGTTGTGCTTGCTCCTTTTCCTGTTAGGCGGTTCTGATTTCTGTCCATTTACTGCGGAGGTGCTCCGGCGTCCGGCGAAAATAGGATCGATTCTATTTTTGCCGGACGCTGGAACAGAGGGCGGTGCACGGCCGCAGTAGTGGAATAGCTCTGATTGACTACAACGGGACCGATTTTGCTCCGGCGTTCGTGTCGGAGCGGAGCGGAGGTAGTAGAATTTGGGGGTAACCCCCAAATTCCACTACCTCCGCCCTTTGTTCCGGCGTCCGGCAAAAATAGAATCGATCCTATTTTCGCCGGACGCCGGAGCACCTCCGCAGTCAATGGACAGAAATCACCACCGCCCAACAGGAAAAGGAGCAAGCACAACTTCCGTTTTTCACAATAAATCGATAAACAAAAGGCGTTTTTTGTTTCATATGCACAGGTTTAACAACTTTTAACAACTATCAATGGCGGTTGAACTTTAAATGCACAAAAATAAGCCATAAATACAGTTTCCACTATCAAAGTAGTCACACTTTGTTGATCCAAACACTGCTGATCTCTACACAAATGATGGGCAGATTAAACAGTTCATGCCGATGCTTCTCCCACACAACGGGTGTTTGGATCTAACTTCCGCGTTTATTGCTCGGACTGTATGCAAGATCTTGAAAATCCCGCGCATGCTTGTTTGCCCACCTCAGGTCTCTGCACCGGAGCGGAGCCGTTGTAGAGCGGGTACCAGTAAAATTGAGTTCGGAAGCGAGCGGCTGCGGAAGGCGGGGGCGGACCGCAGCGGAGCGGAGGTAGTGGAATTTGGGGGTAAGGGTTCAGATGAAAACACCCGACCTCTCAGGCTGCTCACACATCGATCTTAGCCTGGTGGGGGGAGGAGAACCTGGCCTAATAAGCACTGGAGGAAACCCTGTCAAGATCGTCAACACTCATTTATCTTAATGCTGTTGAAACATGTAAACCAAAAAGCATTATATCCACTGCTACCTTTCTAATTTTAAACTCAGTAACTTATGCTGTAACTTCACCCTGCCCTGCCTGCTCCTCCTTGCTGCCCGCCGGCTGTGATCACAAGCGACAACATAGTAGTTCCCGCTGCTTCTTCGGGCAACAGCGCAAAAAAAAAAACACTTGGGATCTTGTTGGCGTGGCGGTGGGATTTCAACTGTGGCAGGCCGCCACGGCTACGCCTATGTAAGAGAAACCCTGAAGATAGAGTGGCTAACACAAGGTAGAGATTTACATAACAAAGCCCATGGTAACTTAAAAATGAAATCAAATCAAAGATACTTTTTTAATCCCAGAGGGAAATTAGAGTTTCAATACACACAATTCAGAGATCAGACATACATGGGCAATACACATGACAAGAATTGGTGACTGTGGTCATTCGCAACCATGAGTCGCGCTACGTTAATAGAGATGAGGGGTTTACATGAGGGTTGGTTCAGGTGGAGGGGGAAAAAGGCACTTCAGAGTTACCCTCCACCAGTAGGGCAGCTTTGCTCTGCAAAAAAACACCTCAGACAGAGATGCAACAGACTTCAGAAAACACAAGTGTCCACTAGGTGGGGTGGTGGGTTGGGACTATCCCTACTTCAGTTCCCGTGGCCACAATAGAAGCAGCTCGTGTCACCTCAGTGTGGATAGGGGGAGGAGCATTGAGGGTTGAAGGGTTGCAGTGACCCTGGAACGTTTCAGCGGCCTTCCCACAGTCCCGCCCAGGCTGGGATAGGAGACAGAATTGAGTTGCCATAGCGACAGCACATTCCACATATCTTCTGAGGGAGGAGTTTTCGTTGGAGCCTTGCAGGCTCAAGGGCACCAGATTCCGATTAGAAATAGTTTTGGGGCCAGACGGAGATAATTTCCTCTCTGTCTTACAGTTCTCTCAAAATCCCAATAATGGACATTAAACTATCCCAATCCGTGCTGATTCATCCACTCTCTCCTTGATGGCATCCATCTTTTGTGCCAATAATGAATCTCGGCCAAGGTCCCAAGCTTACGATTCATCTTGGCAATTATACCATACCATATTTATTTATAAAGCATCATTTCAAAATAGCATGGCAGCTAACCAAAGTGCTGTACATAAAAACGCCAAATGCTTGAACAAGAAACACAATAAGAACAGGCAAAATACATAAGAACAAAGCATAAATAGTTGGAGATAAAAATTCCTACTAAAAACAATAAAATAGAACAGTTAACAGCACTATAAAAAATAAAATAATGCGATGAATGATAAAAACATTTGAAATGGCACAAATAAAACGAAATAAGCTACCAGATGGTGCGAGGTGCCAAAAGTGTGCAACTGAATCATAAAAACGGAATTAAAAACTCAAATTCGGTGCTAGATTTTCATGAAAAGTTTCACGGAGGGATGGCAATACTAAAGAAGTGCATTTTCAGGGCTAACTTGAAACTGCTAACAGAGGGAGACAGACGCACACGGAGGGGCAGAGAGTTCCAGAGTTTTGGGGCTGCACAAGAGAAGGCACGCTCCCCCCGTGATTTGTACCGAACCTTTGGAACAACAAGCAGCAGATGATCTGCTGACCGAAGGGCACGGGTGGGAACATACGGGGTCAGCAGGTCCGTCAGATAGGATGGGTATGGGCAGTACAAAGCCTTATAAACATATAACAAGACCTTGAAGTTAATCCTAAATTTGACTGGGAGCCAATGTAAATCTGCGAGGATGGGTGTGATGTGTATGCGTCTGTCGGTGTTGGTTAAAAATCTGTCCACGGCATTTTGAACCTTCTGCAGTTTGCTTAGGCCTGAAGCATTAATCCCAATCAGGACAGAATTTGCTTAATCCAGACGTGAAGTTATGAAAGCATGAATGACTGACTCAAGATCTGGGCGTTTGAGGACTGACTTAAGACGAGTGATGCGGCGGAGTTGGAAAAAGCAGGACTTGACAGTAGCGTTGACTTGTGAAGACATTGAAAGGTCAGAGTCCAGTTTCACACCTAGGCTAGTGGCACATGATTTGAGATTGAGTAGGAGAGTTGAGACATCTAAAGTACCATTCATGTTAGTGGGGCTAAAAAGTATGGCATCTGATTTCATTTAACCGTAGGCAGTTTTGAGAAAGCCATGATCTGACCTGGGAGAGGCATTCTGTGTGCGTGCGGGAGTTTGCATCTGCTTGGGATGGGATTGAGGGTGGGAGGAGGGAGAAACAAAGGGGATCTGTTATGTGAATCTGTGTGGGAGGGGTGGGAAACCGACTGCTGTCTGGTTGTTTTTAATATTGTAAAGCGCTTTGAGCTGCATTTGCATGAAAAGCGCTTCATAAATAAATTTTGATTCATTATAGAAAATGAGTGCTGTTGGTTGATTTGAAGGTAGATCTGGCAATCATCTGCTGGCAATCATCTGCATAAAAGTGGTGGTTAACCCCGAGACTTGCTAAAATCTTATCAAGTGGTAGCATGTAAATTGAAAAGAGGAGAGGACCTAGGATGGAGCCCTGCGGTACTCCCCATGGAAGTGGGATATTGGGAGAAGAGCAGTCTCCAACATGAACACTAAAACAAAATTATGTGAGTCTGTGAATTCACAGCACGGTGCAATCCATCTCTGAGCTCCGGGATCCAGCCAATATTCCTCGACAGCTCGTTAGTTTTCTGGTAAGCCACGTAGCCTCCAATGCCGATCAGCAGGAAACCAGACACCAACACCACGAATATCCACACATCTTCAGAGTCCTCCACAGACAGCTGGTCTGTCCCGGAGGGGCATCTGGGAGCCCCTTCTCTCGTTCTCATCGTTGAAAAAATTTTATCAACCGTGTTGAGTGACCAACTGACGAGATCCATTTTAGTGAATTTCAATTTCCAGTTTCCAGAAAAATGCAGAAGCAGCCATGCACCCAGCACACACAGACAGACAAAGGCCTTGAGGATAAGATAGGGAGGAGAGGAGAAGAAAAGCGTCTGCACCCTCCAAGAGCCGGAAGCTAATCCATCTAGCTACAATAAAAAGTGTTTTTGAAGATATTGGGTAATCTCTAATGATATTGATATAATGATTGTATTTAAGAATCTACTCGAGGGAGCGAACCAAGTCATTCATAGATGATGGTTTAAAAGGGCATAATCAGTACTCATGAAAGTCTAGGACATCACACATTATCCCTTATGTCCTAATGATAAGGTAAGTCAGAATTAAAAAAAACATTTATCATCACTTCTAAATTTGACATTTCAATACTGGCCACTTAATCTTCTATCAGAGGTCACACTTTGCTTAATATTATCTTGTTTCTTCTTACAATGAAGTTTTTTTAAATTGGTATTTAACAGACGCACAAGCGTCAGATAGTTAACAGGTTGTCAAGGGGAATCAGCTAATCAACTTACTCGGAGAAGTATCAGGTCACACTGTGTGTGTGGATAGGTCAGCGCAGCTAGCAGACACCAGCCGTCTCCCTCTGTCTTGGGTTCAGATAAGGAAACAGTGAGGTTCGGCATGGCACTGAGAATCGGCCTTATCCCACTCAGTCACATTAAAAGAAAAAAAAAACAATTGAATTTACTAGGAAGCAGCCAAATCACTCAGTAAGCTAAATGACATTCCCCAGCTAAATCCTATTTATAAATAAATTTAGGTGTGTAACAAAGCTTTTTTAACTTTATCATGTTTTATGAAATCCAAGTTATGAGATGTAGGTAATTTCATACCGTCTGCCCCTAAAAAAAAGGAAATATTGAGTCATTGACTAAATTTACACAATTCAAATTTAAATACATTTATTTGATGTGTTCAGCAATAAAGATGTTCATTAAGTTATTTACAATCTACCAACATTTAAATGTTTCAGTCTGAAACTGCATAATTTATTTCTCCCAATTCTAAAGTGAGCAAGGTCGGCCGAGCAGGCTGTTGTCAGCAGTATCCTACTCTTATCTCTACTGGCTCTGAAAGCATGAGCCGGTGTCGATGTTTACATTCCAAAGAGGACAGAAAACCTCAAATCAACTGTCCAACTGCTTCACACTTAGTTTCAAGTGTGCAAACTCCGTTTTTCATTTAAAGCATTTACTTTTTTTTATTTTATAATTTCATCCAGCAGTTATTTCTCAAAACCTTTCTGATTTCTGCTTCAGCCTCTTGGCTGATATTGTCTTACTTGAGACCAAGGTCTGTTATGTTTTTCTGATACGATCTTGCTGTTTAACCCAGACACAGGGGAACGTGAAATTCTGTGTCAAAACATTTAAAAGTTCCCAAGCTGGGAATACATGAAGAATTAAACCAATTTAAACTATTTAAATGTGAATTCCCTACAGCAGCTTTAATCTGCTGTCTCATTTAATTTTACTTCCAGACTGTTTCTCCCCTTGTTCTGATCACAAAGCCCGCTAATCGGAGATCTGAACAAGTTCCTACATTGGACAGACACCAGAAAGATTAAATTGATGACAAATGATATTTTTAGAGTGTTCAAAATGCAGTTTTTGGGTTCAGCAGGTACTGTCCACCAGTTTATGTTCACCCAGGTGCGATTGTCATCCGCTGAACTCCCTTGTCTTGGTTTTAAGCGTCAGAAGCAAAGATAAAAAGAAAATAAACAACAAAATGAGATAAAATGCAATTTGACAATAGTCATTGTCAAATAATGTCATAGTTTTGTTGGTCTGGAATTACTGTTAAATCACACAGTCAATTTCCCAGCCCAAGGGTTGCAACTAAAAACCTACATACTTAGCTATTATTTGGGCTCCCTTTCTACTACCATGTACTGAAACACTCAATTTCTCGAACCGGGGGTTTTTACTAAAACCCTTCACTTAAATCCACTAAAGTGACACAGTTTATAGTTCAAATTATATTAATCACCAGAATACCAGGAACTAAATATGTGGTTAGTGCTTAACCTTTTGATGCATGAATTATGAAATCTTCAACCATGATTATTTAACAATGTCTTTCATTTATCTTTAGGTGTGAATGAAACAAATTTCAACAATATTGTTTGTAACATTTAATAATTAGCAAATAATTTTACTACATGTCCACCTCTGTGGACAGCGTGCATTCTGAACATGGAATATGTTGACTGGACTTACTGAAGTCCACACAGAGGGTCTCAAATGCATTAAAGTACTCAACAGCTGTGCTTAATAGCAAAAACAAATAAGTAAGTGACAATATTGAGAACCTGTTCAAATTATATTTTTATCTTTATTTCCTAGTTATAACCATCAGGCTGCAATTAACATTGGTGGCTTAGGCTCAGAGAACAGCTGCAGTTGTTTTGATTTTTTTAGGCAGGACTTGCCTCCTCTCTGTTTCATATTTTCAACCCTTTTTTCTTCACCGCTCTGTGCTTCCTCGTAAGTATAATACATTTGTGACACGTCAGCGGTTATCAAAATCACATTTTCCATCCACCCTCTGATAATTTTCAGTTCCCTTCCACATTTCCTGGATTTACATTTCCATCAATGTACAATATTTACTCAAAAGTTATTTTGTGAGTTCTTATTTCCCCATATAGACACCACACCGTCTCTTCTTCGGCATGAGGTCAGATTTAGGCTCACGAATCTGTCCTCCAACTGTATCTCTAACACAGCGGGACTCACTTATCAGCCAACTAGTTTAAAAGTCTGACCACCAACTTGAAACTTGTGCAAGTGATTTGCCATATCCTTTCTACACGAATAAGCAAGTCCAAACACTCATTTATCCAAACAACAATTAAGCAGACAACATCTAAGACAACAAACAACAACACAGATAACTACAGAGTTGCGTTTCTATTCAAGGCAAAAACGCTCAAAAACCCAAGCCAATACAGCATCTCCAGAATCTGTTTATCTTTCTGTCTGCTCTCACCAAAACAGCATTCCAGAAATCTGCTTACTTCCGTTTATATTTTCCGGTTAAAACGTTCAAAAACCAATTTTAACCCCGGTCACCTAGGATTTTTCTCGGTACCACTAAAAAAAGCAACAAACTTGACTCGTCGAATCTCTCCACTCAGGGCTTGAGTAGTTCGTGGATCCGCATCCCACCAACGCCGTCAAGATCCTCACACCAACCCCCATCGAAAGCACAGCGCCGGAGATGATTTAGGTTGTCGACAGTTTACCGGCGTCAGCTCCTGGCGCCGCGAGGAGATGGGACCCCGGCTTTCGAAGGACCAAATAATGTCATGGATTTTATCAATATGTTTATCAATAACCCATTTCCTATAGTGAAGAGAGAAGGAGACAGTGAACAACAAGTCAAACAGTTATAACTGTGGCAAGATGCACAAGGCAAATGCACCGAACATCCGGTCACAGAGTTTATTTAAAGAGAGGGGAGTGAGAGGGAGAGAGAGATTGTGTGTGTGTGTGTGTGTGTGTGTGTGTGTGGGGGGGTCAAGAATGTGTGTGTGTGGAGGCATGGGTTTGTCTGAATGAGTGAGCATGATCAAAGAGGCATAGACCAATACATTTACATTCAGTTGATTGAGTCAATGATCAAGAATTAATAACCATAAATTTTTCCATAACATATATGTATACATATAATACATATATGTATGCATTTAGATGTATTATTTGTATACATATACATATGTATATGTATACATATAATGCGTATACACATAATACATCTAAATGTGTACATATTATACATATACATATGTATACATATATGTAAACGTATACATATGTATTATATGTATTTGGGCCAGTTTGTCAGCGCTTTGTCTTTCATAAATTTACTCTTTGATCCACATCTGGTTGCTTTAGCTAACTGTAGGCTGTGCTGTTCCCTCCTTCCATCCTCGCCGTCTAAGATCTTCTGATGTTTTGTGATCAGGCTGGAGGTGCAGGCTGATGTGCAGAAGGAGCGCTGCAGTCTGAGCGGTGAGTCTGCCACCGTCAGCCTGGGTGCAGTCAGCGATAACGCCAGCACCAAAGCAATGGCTGGGTCCATTCTTAATGCTTACATACCTGTGGACAGGTGAGCATCGTGTTTGTTAGGGTGATGACTAAATCTTATACACGCACATGTGGTGGTAGAAGTCATCTGACCTACTTCATGTTTATTCTCTCCATCTTCCAGAGAAGGAAACAATATGGAAGTCCAGGTGGACATTGAATCTAAACCCACGAAAAGGCGTCACCATAGTGGTAGCAGTAGCATGGAAGACAGCCATGTTGGTCACTGCGGCTGGCCGTACCCCTCCAATGGCTGCACGTCTTCAGGAAGCAAAGGGACCTCTAAGTGGGCCAAAGAGGCATCATGCTGCTCCTCCTCCACCTGCTCAGGGGGCAAAAAGAGTAAAGGCAAGGTGCGTAAGAATGGAGGTGGCGGTGGGAGCACGAAGATCAACGAGACTCGAGAGGACATGGATGCTCAGCTCCTAGAGCAGCGCAGCACCAACTCCTCCGAGTTTGACTCTCCATCTCTGAGCGGCAGCCTGCCATCTGTTGCTGACTTCCACTGTAGCCACTTCTCAGAGTTCAGCTGCTCTGATCTGGAAAGCATGAAGACTTCCTGTAGCCACGGCTCTAGTGGAGGTGATTACCACCTCTGCTTTGCCACAGTCAGCCCCCTACCAGAGGTGGAGAACGACCGCCTGGAGATGTGTCCTGCTGCTTCATTGCAGGGACACGGAGCCCTGATTCCTCCTCAGTCTCCCACCTCCACCACCTCATCTCTGGGTAATGGCGCTGAGCTGTCCCCTCTTTGCTTCATCACAGAGGAGCGCGTGAACCTGCCGTGTCCCTCTGAGCTGCTACAGGAAAGCAACAACAACCAGCAGCAGGCCCACAGCTCCTGGATACAGACGGACATTTAATACCTTAAGTGCTGTACAGACTTACTTTGCATCTAACATTGTTTCTTTAAACTAACAGTTGCTGCTGCTAAAGCAGATCTCTGACGTTGGGACGTGCGTCCTAAAAGCAGCTCTGGTTTGTGCTTCATGGAGGCTTGGTGCTTCTAGAGCAGCTGTGAGAGAACCATTGTGGTTCGTGTTTGTGTCCACTCGGCACTCCCTCATGCACCATGTCTAACAGAATGCAGCCTGCTGATTGGCCGCTGTAGGTTGAAATAAAACCACTGTGCCAGTTTTGCAAGTATTTTATTTCCCCTTTATTCTGAGATCAGGCCTCTGGAAGGCCACAGATGAAGCTGAGCGTTATTGTAAATAACCAGTGGGTGGGTCCAGATTGATGGTTTCACCTCAGAGCTTTGATACCTTCATGAACTCGTGGTGCCTTCAAGAAGCTGTTAGTGTTTCATCTCCACTGTTTATCACGCTGAAGGCTGGCCCACTCACCTGCATAACAGGTAGATGGAGTAAATAAAGACATTCTACCAAAGACGGCACTCAGGCTCTTGATGCATCTTGACGGTATTTTGAGCCTTTTTCTACACCATCAGATGAATGAAGACAGGATCCTGCTGACTGGTTTTGTATTTGCTTCACAGAAGCTCTGCACCGCAGCCTGAGGCGCCTGCACTGTTATCGGATTTTCTTTACATTCACCTTTTGCGTGGAGCTTGTGGTTTTTTAAGTGAGTTCTGTTTGTTTTCTGCTCTGAGGCCAGTGAGCCGCTCGGTCCGACCTGCTTCACCGGTGGGTCAGGCCTCGCTGCATCAGCACCTTGGGTCTAACTGGAACACTAACAGGTAACTTTTGTTCGGATCAGCATAGTAATTGTATGCTTGCTCATCTACTTTACTAAATGTGTGTAAATGCAAATCAGACAATGAATAAAAATGTGTAAGAAATGTTGTTTTACATTTTTATTGAACAGCCCTCTGAACTACGGTGAAGTTGAGGAAAATTATTGCCTCTTTGTCCACAGCTAATGTCCCCGACATGTAAAAACAACCTTTAACCTTTAATAAGAGACTAGTTTGGTTTCCCCAGCATTAAAATTTTAATCATTTAAATTCACAACAATAAAGTTTTAACTGTACAGGTAATATTTAGATCAGATTAAAGCTACACAACCACACATATATTCTCTCTAAAGCCCTGGAACTGAAAGGAAAGGCACACGCCTCAAAGATGCTGCTTTGCTCATGAGTCCACAGTCAGACTGCAGATGTGTGTCAGCTGGTAGGTTGAATGACTTCAACACACACACCCCTACCTTCAAGGAGGAGTTAGCATGTAAGACAGCAGCTAATTGCATAGTAGAATAAAGATGGACACCAGCCAACATCCTGCTGAAGGCCCAACAGCTCGTGTCTGGGCTAAACTCCTCATGCGCCGTAGTTTGACGTTATTCCTGTAACAACTCACCCTCTGGTGAAGGAGGTGTGAACGCCAGCTTCTCGTGTGCAAACTCTGCTCTCTGTAGCTTTAACACTGAACCCAGGGTATTTGTAGGATTTAACTGGTCAGTGGAATTAGAAACTAAAAAATAAAATAAGGTGACAGACACGATCCACTGCCCAGACGAGTCAGTGAGTTTAATCCGGTTTAGCGTGATTGCTGTGGACACATTCTGCAGCTTCCTGCCGTTGTATTCCGTCCTCTGCATAGACCAAAGAGTGGAGGTGCAGCAGCTCATGCAGCGGGAGGGAGACGGGGAGGTCAGATATACTTGTTAGCCAGATTCTGAACATCGTTTTTTGTGAACTCGGCACTCTCCACAGCTGAGAGATGTTCAAATAGCTGAGTCATGTGGTGATGCGTGTCCTTGTCCAGCAGCAGCTGTACGACCTGCAGACAGCACAGCAGCATTGATCACCAGCATCTATTCCTGAGGTATTAAACATACGTGGACTCGGACGTACCGTGAACCTGTCTGCAGTGTGCAGGTGGTGGAGGTGCTGGTAGACTAAGTTGGGATTCTTCTCCAGTAGATGAGAGTCGAGGGCCTGCATAATGAAGCTGAGGGTATGTCCATCCAGCTGCGTGCTCAGGTACCGGGGAAGCTGTTCAGGTGAGGTGGAGGCCAGCAGCTCTGCACAGGCCTCCGTGTTTCCACTGCAGCGAGCTGCGTTCAGGGACTGGCCGAAGTCGTAGGCGCTGGTTGGCTTCTGGTTGATGGAGACGGCTCCTCCTGTGCAGTTGCTTTGAACAGCTGTGGTGTCTTCATCGCCGTCCACCTGAGGCAAGAGAAGGACATGCTGCACCTTCAGTGGTTATGGGCTTAGTCATATCCTTTCATCTACCAAACCACCTTCACCCCCACGAGCCAGTATTACTAAATGCCCGCTGGGATATTCATCAGAGATGGTTTATTGTGCCTCTACCTCTCTGATGAGGACAGTCCTCCTATGTTCTTTTGAACCGTCAGCAAGACTCTGTCTGAGCAGCACTGTCACCTCCTCCAGCTCCTTTTGAGCCTCCTGCACGCTGGGGTCTAACTGCAGCACCTCCTGCAGGTCGGAGCTACAAGCCAGGAAGTCCTGAAGGAGTGAGGGAGAATTTCTCTGAGCACGTTTGTATAAATGTAAGTCCTCCTTTGACACTCGGCTCACCTGAAGGCCTTTATTGGCCAGGGCTCGTCTGTAGAAAGCCTTCTTATTGGCTGGCTCCAGTCTCAGGGCCGCGTCACAGTCCTGCTTAGCCTCACCGAACCTCTCCAGCTTCAACAAGCACAGAGCTCTAAAACACACACACACACACACACACACACACAATTGTCTTATTCTGCTCATCAGCAGCTGATCCTGATGGATGCTTTAGTAAAATCAATAACAACAAAACAAATTTAATAATAAGCAAAATTAGATGTAAGTATGAAGTAAAAAGCAAAGTTAAAGGCTGAGCATTTACAGGGCAGCATAAGAAATATTCATTTAATGGCTGATGAATACATGAATGTTTCTAGAGTCGGGGCACATCTGAGGTCAAGAGGAAGCTGATTTCATCTGTGAGCAGCATCGTAGCTAAAAGCAGCTTCACCTGTTTGGTTCTAATAATAAAATAATAATAATCATCGAACTTATATAGCGCTTTATTAGGACACTCAAAGACGCTTGCGTGAACTTACATTTACATACTGCCAGTGATGGTAAGCTACTACGTAGCCACAGCCGCCCTGGGGCGGTCTGACGGAGGCGAGGCTGCCATTTGGCGCCGTAGACCCCTCTGACCACCACCCGGTTCTACCAGCTGACTGTTTCCTAAGGATCTCAGAGCCCTGCTGGGCGTATAGGTGTGGTTGGGAGGAACGGCCCCCTGATCTGAATTTGAGTGGTGTTTTGTTATTGGACTTCTGTGCCAGTCATGGATTGTCCATAATGAACACCATGTTCAGACATAAAGGTGTCCATATGTGCTCTTGGCACCAGGATACCTTAGGACGCAGCTCGATGAACGACTTTGTTGTTGTTTCATCTGACCTGCGGCTGCATGTCTTGGACACTTGAGTGAAGAGAGGGGCGGAGCTGTCAACTGACCACTAACTGGTGGTGAGTTGGCTCAGATGGTGGGGGAGGAAACCGGTCAGACCAGGCAGGCCCAAACGTATCATGCTGGGAATGTCTGGCAGAGTCTCCTGTCAGAAGGAGCTTCAATTCCCACCTCCGACAGAACTTCCAAAATGTTCCGGGGGAGGCGGGAGACATTGAGTCTGAATGGACCCTGTTCCGTGCCTCCATTGTTGAGGTGGCCAACTGGAGCTGTGGTCGCAGATTCGTCGGTGCCTGTCGTGATGGCAACCCCCGAACCCGCTGGTGGACACCGGAGGTTAGGGATGCTGTCAAGCTGAAGAAAGAGTCCTATCAGGTCTTTTTGGCCTGTGGGACTCCAGAGGCAGCTGATGGGTACTGGCAAGTCCAAGCGGAACGCGGCTCGGGTGGTCGCCAAGGCAAAAACCCGGGCATGGGAGGAGTTCGGTGAGACCATGGAGGAAGACTCCAGCAATACTAAGACATTATTTTCCATCATGAACAGCATTTTTCAGCCTCCTGACTCTTTACCCATCCACCTTTACTCTTCAGAAACCTGTAACTCTCTCCTTCAGTTTTTTAATGATAAGGTCAATAGAATCCATCTCTCTTTACCTCATTCCTCCCCTCCCTCCCCTGATTTATTTGAACCCTCCATTCAGTTCTCCTCCTTTGAACTTCCCCGTCCCTCAGAACTATTAGATTACATCATCAAGTCCAAACCTTCCACATGTCAACTAGAGCCCCTTCCAACAGTTTTAGTTAAATCCTGCCTTTCCTCCCTGCTCCCTTTTATAACAGCCATTATTCATTCCTCACTATCCTCTGGTATGGTCCCCTCCCTATTCAAATCCGCTTCAGTCAGCCCTATTTTAAAAAAACCTGGTTCAGATCCCAATGATTTCAATAACCTCCGTCCCTTTTCCCATCTTCCCTTTATTTCCAAAGTCCTAGAGAAAACTGTTGCATCTCAGCTGCACTCCCATCTCACCCGCAATAACCTTTATTAACAGTTTCAGTCTGGCTTCCGTCCCCACCACAGCACAGAAACGGCTCTCATCAAGATCACTAATGACCTACTCATTGCTGCTGATTCTGGTTCCATTCTCATTCTCCTCGATCTGAGTGCGGCCTTTGACACCATTTCTCATCCCATCCTCCTCAATAGACTCTCTTCCTTAGGCATCACTCACACACCCCTCCGCTGGTTTCAATCTTACCTTACTGGCCGCACTCAGTTCATCCAGTTAAAATCCTTTTCCTCAAAACCCTCCCCAGTCAAGTCAGGTGTGCCCCAGGGCTCTGTCCTGGGGCCCCTCCTCTTCATAGGACACGGTGGAGGGACTATGTCTCCCACCTGGCCAGGGAACACCTTGAGATTCCCCCGCAGGAGCTGGCTCAGTTGGCTGGGGAGAGGGAAGTCTGGGCCTCTCACCTTAGGCTACTGCCCCCGCGACCCAACTCCGGATAAGCGGATGAAAATGGATGGATGGATGGAATAATGATGGGTGTTTCGACCATGCCAGTCATGTACTTTGAGATTTATCAGCTTGTAAAAGTTCGTAATTAGCATGACTACTAATCAGACATCGACACGTCGCATATGTGACGTCACCACATAATCTCCTCCCCCCTAGCGTAGCTGCTACTTAACACATGACCAGATTTATGGTGGTTCTTTCCTCCTGTGGGAAGTTTGCTGAACTTACAGACCTTTTCCCTCAGTTTTCTCCATGTCTGGTTCGATGATGTCACTTTTGTGAAGCGCATTTGTAGTCCTGGACTTATTTTCACACAAAACCTAAAATAGTGACTCCAGCTCTCGCTAGGGGTCTTCTGCTGCCGTGTCCTTGGGCAAGACTCTTCACCCCACTAGCCTGTGTTGGTGGTGGTCAGAGAGGCCGATGGCTCAAAATGGCCGCCTCGCCTCTGTCAGACCGCACCAAGGCAGCTGTGGCTACATGGTAGCTAACCATCACCAGCAGTGTGTGCACGTGAGATCCATTATTATTATTATTATTATTATTATTATTATTATTATTATTATTTAATTCAGAGTTGTGAGTGTGCCACTGAGGCTGAAGCTGAAGCACTAACCTGTTGGTGTAGATGGAGCATTCCTCTGGCTTCAGCTTAAGGCATTCTGTGTACTTCCCAAAAGCATCTCGGTACTGGCCCTTCTTCACAAAGTCATTGCCTTCTTGCTTCAGAGCAGGAAAAAGGACATCTGCTCTCCTCTCTACGACACAAACACAGTGGTCGGTCATCACCCAACATGGCTGATTCATGTCCGTCCCTCCCTCTCAAGGCCAAACATCCTCACTGACTCTGAATGCACTTTAACTGACTTCTGTTTAACAAGCTCCAGGGCTGGATGCTGCGCTGGCCAGACGCAAAGCATGTGAGTGAAGTCAGCAGCGAGTCCCGGTGTGATCTACAGACTAATCAATCTGCTGCAGAGCATCTTCTGGGAGGAAAACCGCCAGCAGTGCTTTTCTTCTGTTAGACTTTAATAAGGAGAGCTGCTGCATTGAAACCATTGACATATACATGTTGAGACTGAGGAAAGAGCAAAGTCAGCACCCTGAGCTATGTCCCTTCAGTTAAAGATGAGGACGGTCACATCACTGGGAGGGAATGGGAGGAATTCTCCAGTGGGACATTAGCTGGAACTCAGTAATTAAATCTAAAACCTGAGAACAACCTCTGAAAGCACACAATGCCTTTTAAAAACCACTCATGTATTTGCTGAAGGATTTCCCAGAAACTCCAGCAGCTGTTTCTGGTGGGTGTGCAGAGAACAGACCTGCCTCCCTGGCAGCTTTTTCCACCCGAGCCTGCAGGACCTCTGCGCTGGGGGGCTCCTCTCTGCGGTGCTGCTGAGCCGACAAAGGCACCAGGGGAATCTCTGGAAGTTTCTGTCTCCATTCCGGCCCATCCTGCTCGATCAGCATCCGGGTGATCCTAAAGAAAACACTCTGTGTTCAACAAAAACACTTCTGATTTATATCCAGCAACGGTTGCTGAGAGCCAAGTGTGTTCGGTACGAACAGTTAGCTGCTGAATTGTGAGTACGCTTCAGCACAAGATATGAATGAAATGAAGAGTAGAAACGGTGCAACACAGTAGATAAAGTGAGAAAACAGACTTTTTAATCACAAGACAAGTGCATTAGATGCATGTGCACCATGGTATCCAGAGAAGTCTCAGGTGGATGAAAGCTCATACCTGTTGACACTGTCGTGCGCTGCCTGCACACTGCTGTCTATCTGCAGGACAGTCTTGTAATCCACGTAGGCCTTCCGGTACTGCTCCAAGGACTCGTAAGCCATGGCCCGGCGCAGGAGGGGCTTCAGGGAGAAGGGCTGCAGCTCCAGAGCTCTGGCGAGGATAAGTGGATATAATTAGACCAGCAGGAAGGATCAAGGAGGAGAAGCTGGAGTCTGGAAGCCTTAATGCAGAGTTCACAGGCTTTTTTTAGGAGTGCCTATATTAGTGTGTTGTAACAGCTTAAACCTGCTGTGAGAATAATTATATTCTATAATAATCACAAAAAGACTTGATTAAACACAGATCTGCTACTGAGGCTGCTGGACCACAACAACTGGACTCAAAATAAATGACGAGGTTCATCATCTGACCCCATGCTGCTGCTCCTGAGTTTGGATTTAAATAAACAATAAGAAAGATTCTTCTAACAGAAATACCACAGAAGAAGGTTGTGTTTCGCACTTATTAGTTAAAAATGTCTCTTTCTCTGATAAAGGTTGCAGATTCAGGTCAGAATCAGGAATATAAAGCTCCTCTCACCTTGTGCAGTCCTGGATGCAGTCCTGACTGTTCCCATCTTTCAGGAAACACGCTGCTCTGTTAGAATACAGAACACACAGGTCCTGTGGACTATCCAGTCCTACACACACACACACACACACACACACACACACACACACACACACACACACACACACACACAGTGAATATCACCATCTTTATATAGACATACAGGGTTATACCTTTTACACAGGCTACTGATTATATTATTGGTTATATTATTAAATTAAAGTTTATTCATAAAGCACCAAACCACGACAAGAGTCGTCTCAAGGACCTTCACACAGTAAACATTCCAACACAGGTCAGGTCACTGCCAATCAGTAATAAATTTCCTATATAAGGAACCCAGCAGGTTGCTTCGAGTCACTGACCAGTGTCAGAGTCTTTACAACAATCCTCATACTAAGCAAGCATGCAGCGACAGTGGAGAGGAAAACTCCCTTTTAACAGGAAGAAACCTCCAGAGGATCCTGCCTCAGTATAAGCAGCCATCCTCCATGACTCACTGGGAATGGAGAAGACAGAGCACACAGAACTCTGGTTTAACACACACACACACACACATATAATTTAAAAGATGATCCCCATATTTCAACAGTAGATCCTCCTGGGACCAGCAGAACCTCCGTGCCATTCTGGATTAGTGCAAATGACGAGTCGAGCTAGCGAGTTACTCCAGCATCTAGAAGATTTATTCTGGTAAATTATGGTTAAATATGATCCAGAGTTATATCAACATACACACACAGCGGTAAAACTGGCAGCACATTATTTATCTGTAGATTACTTAGTTATATTGGGACAGATGATGGAGCTAAGACCTGGATTCGGCTGAGAGCTCCTGGTGGAGCACAGAGATGAAATATTTTTGCTTTCCGGGGTGAGGGGAGGATGGAGTAGGACACGAGTCTGGGAGCTCCTGCCGACTTCGATTAAAATTGTTATTCATTTGCGCTTTTTTGACCATATTTCTTGTCCTAATTCTGATTTTTGAATTATTTTGTTGGGACGTTTTAATCGGCTCGGCATAAAATGGCAGCAAAAAAATGTAAAAACCCGCAATGCTACTCAAACACAACTGAAGCTTGGTTTGCAAACCGCGGCCACACCCTCGAGTGAGCCGCCGTCTCCGGCAAAGTTTCCCTTGGGCCAAGCTAATCCTGATATCGAGGCTCTCAAGGTCGAGTTGCTTGCTTCGTTGAGGAATGATATTGCTGACATTTTTAAAAAAGAACTTCAGGACACACTGGGTGATGCTTTGTCCACCATTAAGTTCGACCTGCAGGCTGTGAAGACGCAGCTGGCGATCGATAAAGCTGCCAATGACTCTACCATGTCCGAGCTAAAAGGTACGGTCAAGGAGATGGAGCATGCACTGACTGTTTGTTCTGATGATGTTGCTGATATGAAAACTACTATCAAGAGCCTCACTGCTCATGTAGCCAAGCTGGAAAACAAGTGTGAAGACTTGGAGTCCAGGTGGCGGCGCAACAATGTTAGGATATTAGGAGTACCAGAGGGCCCTGACACGTCCACCACTGCTGCCGTAGCCTCCTTGCTAAAAGAAGCATTCGACCTGGGGAAGGAGCCGCTTTTGGATCGTTCACACAGGACCCTCCAGCCTGCACCTAAACCTGGCGACCGACCACGAGCTATTATATGCAGGTTTCATTACCACACTGATTGTGTTGGCATTTTACGACGTGCTAGAGAACGCCGACAGATTAAAGTTGGAGACCGAACCATCTCAATCTTCCCCGACTACACCATCAAGGTGGCACGGGCTCGTGCTGCATTCAATACGGTCAGGCAGCAACTCCGTGGCATTGAAGGCGTCCGGTACGGCCTGCTTCATCCAGGACGACTCCGCATCACATACAAGGGTGTTGAGAGGGACTTTGTCTCAGCAGAAGAGGCAAGTGATTATGTTAAAACTTTGATCTCTGGGTGAGCCTGAATAGCCTCTTAGTTAGATGCTGTAATGTAACTAAGTGCTCACGCTCTCGTTAGGTTTAACGTCACCTGTGCATTGTTTTCTTAGACCGCTGTGCCAGTTATCATACTGTTGGTGTGCTGGTTCCTTTTATTTTCATTGTTATCTAATGAGACTGAATTATATGATATACTCTAGAGAGTTCAAAGGACTAGGTGGTATGTTGTGAAGCGCACACTGTTATACTGTAGAGAAGTTGGCGAGAGGTTGTGTTTTTTTTTTCTTTTCTCTCTCTTGTTCCCTCTCTCGCTTTTATTTTGTATTTAGACGCCAGTTAGTCCAATCACTTCTGTGAACCATTTTTTGCTACTTTGGGGTACACTGCTGTCTCCTTTGTTTTGTTTTGTGGAGACTTGGGGTGTGTTGGGGGGGGGGGGGGGGGGGGGGGGGGGGGGGCTGTCCAACTTGGCTCTTCATGGCCACCTGCATCTTGGTTTTGTCTTTTTCTTTCTCCTTTTTATGAATGGTTAATGGTAATATAGACCCCAGCATTGCTGGGTCAGGTATGCCTCTTAGGTTTATTAGTTGGAATATCAGAGGTATGGGTAACCCTGTTAAGAGATCTAAGGTTTACACTCACTTGAAACGTCTGAATTCTGACATAGCTTTTTTACAGGAGACTCATCTCCGTATTAAGGATCAACATAGGTTATATTGTCCTTGGGTAGGTCAGGTTTTTCACTCAAATTTCAATTCAAAGGCTAGAGGAGTGGCCATTCTCATCAATAAGAAAGTTCAATTCTCTTCGACCAATGTTATCGCTGATGGGAACGGTAGATACATAATTGTTGCTGGCACCCTAATGCAGAAAAAGGTTTTGTTGGTAAACGTATATGCCCCAAATTTTGATGATGCTGAATTCGCTAATAAATTACTAAGTAACATCCCCTTTCTGAATACACATTTGCTTATTTTTGGTGGCGATCTGAATTGTGTTTTTGTTCCAAGCTTGGATCGTTCTGGTCCTCGTAATTTAACTCCATCATCTATGTCTAAAACATTTTCAGATTTTATGATACAGAATGACCTTGTTGATCCATGGAGACTTCGCAACCCTACAATCAAAAAATTTTCGTTTTTCTCCCAGGTCCACCAATCTTATTCCAGGATTGATTATTTTTTCATCGATAGAACTCTCAATTCATGTGTTACTAACTCCGACTATTCTGGTGTTGTAATATCTGATCACTCTCCTCTGCTATTAGATGTTCAACTCTCTACATATAAACGTAGTCCTCCTCTTTGGAGATTTAATTCTCTCCTTTTGGCTGATAAAGAATGTTGTGAATTTATTTCAAGCTCTATTGAGGAGTTCTTGTTCTTTAATCGGGATGATTCTGTTTCATATTCTCTGCTGTGGGAGACTCTTAAATGCTATTTGAGAGGTCAAATTATTTCTTATTCTGTACGTACTAATAAAAAGATTAATGCCAGGCTTAAAGAACTTACGGTGGCAATTAGTAACTTTGATCAAATTTATGCACTGAATCCTTCTCCAGAATTACTCAAGCAGCGCCTTGATTTGCAAGCCGAATTTGATCTTATGTCAACCAAAGAGGCTGAGCACTTATTACTACGCAGTCGTGGCTCATATTATGAATACGGTGACAAGGCTAATCGCTTGTTGGCGCATCAGTTACGACGTCAGGCCTCTTCACGTGTGATACCTGGTATTAAAAACTCTTACGACAATATTACTACAGATCCTTAGGAAATTAATTCTACCTTTAAAGCATTTTACTCTTTGTTGTACAAGTCAGAATTTCCCACGGATAAAGCTAAAATGAATGAATTTCTTCAGTCTCTTTCAAACCCGGTTATCGGTACTCATAAGGCCGGGCAACTGGACTCCCCACTATCTGCTGATGAAGTATTAAAAGCTATTACAGCTATGCAGTCTAATAAAGCCCCAGGCCCGGATGGGTTTCCTATTGAATTTTATAAAACATTTATTGGTAAACTGGCACCTTTGCTTTTGTCTGTGTTTAACGAGTCCTTGGAATCAGGTTCATTACCTCCTACTTCCACGCAGGCCACCATAGCGCTCCTTCTCAAAAATGACAAGGACCCAACTTCCTGTGATTCTTACAGGCCATTATCTCTGCTTAATGCCGATGCAAAGATATTGGCTAAAGTAATTGCGTCTCACCTTGAGGATGTGCTTCCTCAAATTATCCCCGAAGAGCAGAATGGCTTTATAAAGGGACGGCAATTATTTTTTAATACTCGTACACTCTTTAACGTTATTTACTCAAAGCATCTATCTCAACTTCCTGAACTTGTGATTTCTTTAGATGCTGAAAAGGCTTTCGATAGGGTGGAGTGGGAATATTTGTTTGCAGTTTTGAAGAAATTTGGTTTTGGTGATAAATTTACTTCTTGGATTCAGCTTCTTTATTCATCCCCTAAAGCCAGTGTTCATACTAATGATGTTTATTCTGATTATTTTGCGCTGGGTCGTGGTTGTCGTCAAGGTTGCCCTTTGTCACCTTTACTCTTTGCCATTGCCATCGAGCCGCTGTCCATTACATTAAGATCTTCTTCTGTATTCAAGGGAATCCCCCGTAATGGAATTACACATAAAGTATCATTGTATGCGGATGACTTGTTATTATATATGACTGACCCTGCTCGCTCCATTCCTGCTGTTTTAAGTATTCTGGAGAACTTCAGCTCGTTTTCAGGTTATAAATTAAATTTAGGGAAAAGTGAGTGTTTTCCTGTTAATACGGCAGCACGTCAACTCCAACAGTCCGATCTACCCTTTCGTCTTAGTCCCTCTGGGTTTAAGTACTTAGGGGTTAATGTGACTCGCTCTCTATCTGGCCTTAAATCAGCAAATTTGTCTCCTCTTTTATCTAGGATCACATCTGATATTCAAAAATGGGGTAATCTCCCGCTTTCTTTAATCGGTAAGATTAATGTCGTTAAAATGAATATCCTACCAAAATTTTTATTTTTATTTCACTCAATTCCCTTATTTTTGCCGAAACATTTCTTTGTTTCACTGGACAAGATTATTGGTTCTTTTATTTGGGGAGGGAAGCCGCCTAGGGTTTCTAAAACGTTGCTGCAGCAATGCA